TTCCTCTCAAGTTCTTACCCGTCTAGTTCTTCCATTCTCTTTTCTCTTCTCCGTTTCCGTGCCCTGGAAGTCCTGGTATATAAAGCCAGGCTTCCAGGGTCAAACGGAGGGGTGATAAGAATCACATTGAGAGGCAATAACCATTAATTATCATTTGCAACCCCCAAAGGGAAGTGACCAATGGGGAAATGAATTAACTAAAGGCTAAATTCGGGTAATATCTAAGAAGAGGGCTCTTATGTGCTCAACTATAATCTTAAACGTGATTAGTAGAAAATGTTAATCTATAAGTTGCTAGGTCAATGGGAGAAAATAGAACTGTCTTCTTTTTTCCTGTGGCTCCTATTTGTCCAAGCTATCTGCTGTTTTTCTGCAGGGTGGGGGAAAGTGTGCTCAGTCACTAGGCAACCTGTGTACAGCTAGATGCCTTTGGTGATAGTTAAGATAGGGAGATCTGGAACTAGAGGTAAGGTTTGGGAAAGCAGGAAGTAAAGCTTAATTGGCACATCCGCCAGGCCTTCTCAAATGGGTAGCCTGGATGCTTAAGTCTGTTCTTACAAAGTACAGAGGTATCTCTGATAAGGTACTTTCCTCCATCTGGGGATGGACCTGGCCAGATGCTGCCAATGATGATAATTACAGGGAGGTTTGAACTGGGGTTCTGGCTGAGCATAGCTGTCAGCACAGAAGGTTATCTAAATATTCCTAGAAGTGGTTAGGTAAGGAGTTAGTATTAAAGTTAGTAAGGCTGTAAGAAAGGAGGGTCTGAGCTGAATTGTGTAAAGCTATTACTTAACGTCCACCTGACCTAGGCGGTGTCTCCTTGTGGAATTTATCTTAAATCAGGAGACCTTCATGTGGAATGTTATCAATGTTAGTCCTCGGAAAGTTGGGTGCCCACCTGGGCAGTGTCTCCTGTTAGTCCTTGAAAGTGGCTAAGGGAGATAATCTGATTCCAGAGAAAGCCTTTCCCCAGGCTGTTCTCCAAATTCCTGGAATGTGTATTTCCAGAGAGTGATCAGTCCACACTGTTAGCCCTTCTAAGGGAAAAGTCAATTGGGAAAACTATGAAGGCACACATGATTTTCACAACAGAAGACAGCTGATATATAACAAGCCAAGTAACACCAAAAACTCCTTGGGATTTGGCTTCCTCTGGAGGAATTCCCTGATTCCTCCAGGTAGTGACTTTGCCATAACCAGCTGAGTTCTTATGATATATTCCTGTGGCCTGCAGCAGAAAGTTGTTCTCTGACACACAAAAATGGCCTGTGCATGCCCACATATGCTGTGGGATGTTCTGTATGGCAAATGTGTTGCTGATTAGTCAATAAATAAAACACTGATTGGCCATTGGCTAGGCAGGAAGTATAGGCGGGACAAGGAGGAGAATAAAGCTGGGAAGTGGAAGGCTGAGTCAGGAGACACTGCCAGCCGCCACGATGAGAAACAGCATGTGAAGATGCCGGGTAAGCCACGAGCCACGTGGCAAGGTATAGATTAATGGAAATGGATTAATTTAAGCTGTAAGAACAGTTAGCAAGAAGCCTGCCACGGCCATACAGTTTGTAACCAATATAAGTCTCTGTGTTTACTTGGTCGGGTCTGAGCGGCTGTGGGACTGGCAGGTGAGAGAGATTGGTCCTGACTGTGGGCCAGGCAGGAAAACTCTAGCTACACACATACCTACATGTATACAAAATAAACAGATAAAAAATATGATAAAAATACAATGAACAAGTGAAAAACAAAATATTCCCCTTCATCTGAAGTACCTAAATAAAACAAAACATGTTGTTAACAAAACATAGCTTTAAGAACTTGATAATACTGAGGTTTTAATACGACTTAGAATTCTTTTACTTACACTTTTATCAGCTATAGGAGGATTTTCTGACAGAAGCTGGTGATGTTTTCTAGCAGAAGTTAAATCCAACGAACCTAAGAAAACAAGAAATCAGTGAGGGCCTCTCTCATGGTAAGTTCTAGCACTGAGTCACAGGTCCAATCTGAGTGGCTATTAAATCAAAACCCGACCTTCAGCAACTGAATAGACATGACACAAGAACTGAGACCTCCGTATTAACTTCAAACGTGAAGACACTTTCCTGTAGAAGAGACTGAGCATATAGTTAGATATATTCCAATGGAAGACTTTATGGCTGATGTTTAGGAAAATAATGATCAGTCAAAGCAATTAAGTGGGTGAGATCTAAAATGTTTTAGCAGCAGACATGCTGTCGAACTTCTTTAATTGCAGTACTCACAGGTGAATTTCTTTAAGTTTGGTGCTAGCCTGGTCTACAGAATGATTTTTAGGCCAACCAGAGCTACACAGTGAGATCCTCTCTCAATAAAATAAAATAGGATTTTTTTTATTGTTGTTGTTTTGAGACAGAGTTTCTCTGTGTAACTTTGGAGCCTGTCCTAGAACTTGATATGTAGACCAGGCTGGCCTCGAACTCACACAGATCCACCTTGCCTCTGCCTCTCGAGTGCTGGGATTAAAGGTGTGAGCCACCACAACCACAGCACGGCTAAAACAGGACTTTTTTTTTTAAGATTTATTTATTTATTATGCATACAATATTCTGCCTGAGTGTCTGCCTGCACGCCAGAAGAGGGCACCAGAACTCATCACAGATGGTTGTGAGCCACCATGTGGTTGCTGGGAATTGAACTCAGGACCTCTGGAAGAACAGCCAGTGCTCTTAACCTCTAAGCCAGCTCTCTATTTAAAAATAGGACATTTTAAAAGGATTTTTTTTCAGGGGCTGGAGAGACGGCAAAGCAGGTTAGAGTACTTGCTGTTCTTGCAGAAGACTGGAGTTTGGTACCTCCAACAGACAGCTCACAAGCACCGGTCAATCTAGCTCTAGGTAGATCCAACTACTCTGGCCTCCAGGGGCACCTCAACTCACATACACCCATCTGAAAAAATATATTTTTTTTCTGAAAATTCTAAAAGGTATTTATTCATCGTGGGAAAAAGACATGATTCACCAGTACAAACCCGTATATAGACAGGCATGGTAGTGCATGCCTTGAATCCCAGCCACCAGGAGGCAGATTTCTGTGAGTTCCAAGCCAGCCTAGTCTACACAGTGAGTTCCAAGCCAGGACTCTACAGGGAAACTCTGTCTCGAATACAAACAAAAACCAGCAGATAGATATAAACGCCTGATCTAACAGAAGGTCTGCTAAAGCATACCTCCAAAAAGCAGCAAGCATACTGCTGTTCTTGCACACACTCATTAATATGAGCCTTAAGATAATCAGTACCACTTCACAGCTCTAAACAGGGCAGGTGAACTGTAAATACAGAGGCCACCAAAGACTAAGTTATGCATTTCTCCTATGCCAGACTGGATGGCACTAGAAGGGAGAACATTTGGTAAATATTAAGCAGATTATACAAGCTCACTGTATCCATCATGGGTGTGAACAAGAACATGACGCCGGGACCACACCAAGAAGCACAACGGGAAATAGTCAGCTTTCATTCATTCTACACGCTGAAACATTCTGCAGACTGTCTGGCCATTTTCCCAGGGAACCAAGTGACTCTTCAAACGTCCGTACAAACCAGATTTGTAGCTTACACTTGAGAATGTAAACACTGACTCCTTTAAATTTTGGGGCTCCCACATCCCAAACTAGAGTTGAAAATAAAGACTAAGGTTTTACAAAAACATAAACAGGGTGGGAAACTGCAACATTTGGAATCACTTGCCATATGAAGTTCCGTTTGAGCTAGTCCTCACGCCAACAGCAAGACGTTTATTTGCAGACAGTGCTGGAGGAACACGGGGCAGCTCGTCCCCCACCACAGCCGAGTTATCCCTTTGGTTTGGGGGAAACGACCTCTCGCAGTCTCCTCGCTGGCATTTTAACCCTTCTCCCCCTTTCCAGGCTGAACTCCAAGTTTTTCATATGGTTAGTCACAAAAAAACAGGTCCCGCGCGGTTCTTAACAGAGGGACTGTCTTCTGGGTTCAGACTTGAGGACGCAGTTTCACCTCTTTGGAAAAGAAGCCAAGGGTAGAGGTGGATTTGATAAGGAATAGCGGAATTCAAAAAAAAAAAAAATGATCAGGAAGCAGTCCTTAACTTAGAAAAAAAAAAAAATCAAGACAAAATATCCACAAAGCTGTGCATTTCACTGTTGACGTTAAATCCAGGACCAAACACGACCGGAATGTCTCGGGTGCCTGTGAGTCCCCCCCGAGTCTGTTCACGGCACCGGGGCAGTAAATCTGAACGGAACCATGCCCAAGCGCGAAGGGGACGCCGCGGGAACGGGACTCACAAAGCGCTCCCGCACACCGGGGCCGCCGGCCAACGCCCCGACAGACGTGGAGGCGGGGTGCAGGTCCGGCTGCGACCCAGGCGAGCGGGCGACGTTGAACTCCCGCTTCGTCAACTGTCGCCCCCAGCGGACGCGGGCGTCGGCGCCTTCTTCGGGCGAGTGCCGACGCACTCGGACCCCCGCGACGCCGTCCACGCAGGCCGGCCCACACGCCGTCCGCTCGGCGGACTCGGCCCCAGCTTCGGTTGCCCGCGGGTCAACACCCTCGGCCCCCCGCAGCCCGCCCTCGAGACTCAGCGCGCAGGCGCGTAAAGCTCCGCCCCCCCCCTCCCCAACCGGAAGTGAGCGCTCGGGCGCATCCTGGTGCTCTTCCTTTCCTGCCCGGGTGGAAACAAGTTCCCCCAAGGTTAAAAAGACGCCCAAGAGATGCGACTTTATTATTATTATTATTATTTTTTTTTTATTTTAAAGGCAGCCTCTCGCGTTTATTTTTGGATACGACACTAGGTGTTCCTCGAGGGCCGAAGAACTCTCCATCGGCCCACGAACACCTCCTTCGTTTATCAAGGGTGAGTGACGCTCGAGTAACTGTAGACCGTTAGAGACCTAGGGGTAAGTATATGAGGCTTCCTACCAACCTCGACAGATTCGGTTGCGGTGGAAAAGGAAAATGACAATACAGAGCCCTGTCTAACAGAGCATACCAAAACTTAATTCTTAGGTGATTTTTTTTAGAATTCACTTGGGGTACTGGCTTTTCCTCCTACATGTCCCTACGGGTTGTATCGAATCTGCGTCCGAGGCTCCACGCTCACCTTGACTTCAGTGCCCCTACGTGTTCTCGGCTCTCCCGCGGCGCGGCGCCCTCTTTTATACTGACCCTCGGATCTCGGACTCTTCGGGCACCGCAGCCCCTCAGCCCGGGGCCGGCGTCGGATGCCAGAGCCTGTGGCTAAGTACGCTCGCTTTTCCTCCGCTCTCAGGATCGCGGGTTCGCGGCGGCGGCGGGGCGGGAGAAAGGCGGCCGGAGGGTACTCCGGGGGGGGGAGCCGCCGCGTGCACGCGGGGCGTGGGGCTGCGCAACGGGCAGCGCGGCGCCGCGGGAGGCCAGACAGCCCCCGGTGGGGGGGGGGGGGGCTTGTCACCCGAGGGTAGTCACCCGAGACCCCAAGACACCGCCTACCCCGGGCTGGCGGGCTCGGGGCTCGCCTTGGGTCTGCACGGTATCCCCCCCCCCCCCCCCGCCCCCCCCGGTGACCTTGAGCTGTCAGACCCGAGCCCCTTGCCTGAGACTCTGCAGCCTTCCCTGGCTCCTGCCCTCTCTAGACCACCAGGGCTCGCGCCCTTTCCCTGCTCTCCTTCCCGGAGGACGCTCGGGTTCAGAGCTTTCCCGCCGCGCCCTCGCTGGAGGCTGCTAAAACAGATCGAGCCAAGCTAAAACGGGGTGAGATGTAGACGTTGAGTGACAAGTTTTCGCCTGGGGTACGTACGTTCGTCCCTGCCAGCCTAGAGTGAAAAGGCACCTGCAAGTCTCACCTTTGGAGAACCTGTTGGTGGTGGTGGTGGTGGTGGTGTTGCCATTTAATGAGTTTTGTGATTAATCACTTTGGTATGTTAACCTTCGCTTTTGTTGTCCCGCAAGTTTAATATGTTGCTTGTCGATGGTATAAGTGGGTTAGAAGACAGAGTGGCGATGTCAGATCGGCCAGAGGCCTTAGAGGTGAACTAACTTCCATAATTTCTAGGTAAAACTTAGATATGGAAAAAAAAATGACCTTTCCCCCCCAATTTCAAAACGCTGAGCAACAGCAGCCAGTAAAGTGACTTGAATGATTTGAAATGGACTTCAAGTGCTTTTAGCTCTGATTAACACTGACTTAAGAGTTGTCTACTATTAACGCCGGGTATAGTGGCAGGCAACCTTTAATCCCAGCACTCGACAGGCAGAGGCAGGCTGATCTCTGCGTTCAAAGCCAGCCTGGTCTACATAGAGTTCCAAGACAGCCAGGGCTATACAGAGAAACTCTGTCTCAAAAAAAAAAAAAAAAAAGCCACAACAAACAAACAAAAAAGTTGCCTATAATCTAAACGACTATGTGGAAGATAAGATAATAAAATAGCCGGGCGGGTGGGTGGCGCGCGCCTTTAATCCCAGCACTCGGGAGGCAGAGCCAGGCGGATCTCTGTGAGTTCGAGGCCAGCCTGGGCTACCAAGTGAGTTCCAGGAAAGGCGCAAAGCTACACAGAGAAACCCTGTCTCGAAAAACCAAAAAAAAAAAAAAAAAAGATAATAAAATAATTTAGATACTTGAACTCTCAAAATAGATACTGATAGCCCTTGAACAAAAAGTAGCTCAGGGAATTACTATTTTTTTGTTAACATTTTTTAAACTATGTTTTTCTCCCCCACACCATTTCCCCCTCCCCTCCACTTTCACCCCCTCCCTGTATACATCTATAGATAAATTTTATTTCACTGAAGCATTTGCAAATAAGTTTCAGATATCATGAACTTTGGCCCTAATTGTTTCAGCCTCCTTAAGGACATTACACAGTCTCAGAACATTATTACACATAAGATGACATTTAGATTCTCCTAATTATCTAAAACGAATGCCATTATTGTTAGAATAGGGACTGCTGCCTTAAACTCTTAAAAGACCAGGTCCCACAACTGGAAGTGATCTGCTGTCTCTCTCCCTCCCTCCCTCCCTCCCCTCCTCTGCTGGAAGTGATGGTCCACCCCACCCCCATCTCTCCCCTCTCCCTCGCTCTCCTCTCTGTCTCACTATGTAACTCTGACAGTCCTGGAACTCAAAAGAGCAGATGCCTCTCCCAAGCGCTCGGATTATAGATGTGAGCCACCACACCTGGCAGGGCCCAATTTCTTAATAAATTCATTCCTGTAGGGAATTCTGTGTTGGCTTTCTTTTCAGGGACTGACTGCTTCCCCAAAAAGCAAACCTTCTTTCCAGGTTCAGAATACAGTTAAGGCTCACACAGTATGCTGAATTGCAGTGACTCTTAATCTCAATCTCATCCACTGTCCACTCTTCACAACATTTTAAAAATAAGATTTCTTGGCCGGGGCGGTGGTGGCACACGCCTTTAATCCCAGCACTCGGGAGGCAGAGCCAGGCGGATCTCTGTGAGTTTGAGGCCAGCCTGGTCTACAGCGCAAGATCCAGGAAAGGCGCAAAGCTACACAGAGAAACCCTGTCTCGAAAAACCAAAAAAAAAATAAATAAATAAGATTTCTTTTTATGTATGTGAGTGTTTGTATGTGTGTGTGTATGTGCACCAAGTGCTTGCCTGGTGCCTGAGGCAGCCAGAGGAGAGTGTAGAATCCCTTGGACCTGGTACTGCTGGTTGTGAGCTCTGTGGGTACTGGAAACAAAGAGACAAGGACTCTTAACCACTGAGTATCTCTCTCACCCTTCATACCATTTTTGAAGGCTAGGTCCTCAGTTATTCTGTAGTATGGATTCTCCTGATTATTCCCACATGATCAGAGTAAGAGCCTGGATTTTTAGGCGCAGAACGCCACTAAAGTGATTCTGTGTGCCTTAGGGTACCCCAGCAGGAAATTTTGCCTACTTTGTGTGATGGAAGGTTGACCCATTTAATTATGGTGGTGACTGTCTTGCCAATGAAAAGGGACAAATGTCTTGCATAAGTAACCTATAGAGGTGCTTGAAGACCATAGATAGGTATGTCTTGTTCCCTAGCATATCCCTTGGTTTTGTCCATTCATGGGCTTCAACTGAACCCCAAGGTTGTGAATCACATTACCTGTTATTCAGGGACTAGAAACAATTGAAGTAGCCAAGGATGGCAGAAGAATCACTTGTTGTAAATTAAATTTAAGCATTATTAAGATTTAGTTTCAGAGTTGGAACAGATGTGCATATGATTTACAAAGAAATAGAGTAATCATCTCCCCATCATGCCCTTGTTCATTTTCTTTGTTTCGTTTTTTCAAGACAGGGTCTCTCTATGTAGCCCTGGCTGTCCTTGTACTCACTCTGAAGACCAGGCTGGCCTTGAACTCAGAGATCCTCCTACCTCTGCCTCCCAAGTGCTAAAGCCCCAAGTGCTTTAGTCCTAAGGACTAAAGACATGAACCACCATGCCTGGCTGGTTAATCACTTCTCAGTATTCGATTTCTGGAAATGTGATATGAAGAAGCAAATTCCTTTCTGAGAAGGAAATAAATTTAGGGGAAAACAAGGTGCATTAGAGAAGAAATAAGAAGCTGGGCATGGTGGTCTGTCAGGGCCCAATGCTGGGCTCCAGCCCTGACCTATCAAAGGGGGTGAGGAGTTGAGAAATAATAGGAAGAAATACAGACAGAGACAGAGAGACAGAGACACAGGATAGCTTTGAGAGGGCCTGGTCAATACCCAGCAGCCTTGAGTTTATTTCTAATGGGCTTTTTATACACTCGCAAGGGGAGAGGGAAAAGACTGCCCCCTTTCAAGATCAAAGCACAATGTACAACCAAGTGTAGACCCTTCCAAACACCTGGTAACCATGCCTTTGCACCCTATTATGCAGCCTTGGAGGGCAACATAAACTCTGAGTCTCTGACTTTGAGTCAAACCACAAGTTGGAATCTTTGTGGGCTCCCACAGTGGTCCATACCTGTACCCACAGCACTTGTGACCAAGTTCAGGACCCAAGTTCAGGTCCAGGCTGGGCTACATAGAAAATTTTAGGACACCTGAGACCAAGTCTCAAAAAGCAGGACACAATTAATTATAGACATACTTAATAAATGTGAAGATGTAGTCAAAAATCAAAAGATCTTATAACACTTTGGGCTATTTGGAGAATATTGTGTAATAATTGTAGCTTATTGGATGTATCATACAGGTGTTAGAGTGTAAGGGGGAAATCCTGGATTTTACGGTCTGAGTGCCTCTGGTGGTCCTGAGCTGTTCTAGTTGATCTGAAAGTGTAAATTCAGTGTTTGAACTATTAGCTTTCTTTTAGAGTTATCAGAAGAATCCGAAGAAAAGTTTAAGGTCAGCATGACAGTGTTTCTTTTTAAAATATGCTAATGAACTATAAACTTCAGACTATATAAAATAATTTCACTTAGTAAGAAGATAGAGGGGCCTGCAGCTGTAATTAGGTGATGGAACACTTGCTAACATGCACGATGCGCTGGTTTGACTCCTATGCGCACAAGGGAAAACCTGATTTATACTGTCATTCAGTTTGATAATGAAAATGAAGAGGCTTTAAAATAAAGGAGTGGGGCTAGAGAGATGGCTTAGCGGTTAAGAGCACTGGCTGTTCTTCCAGAGAACCTGAGTTCAACTCCCAACACCCACATGGCAGCTCACAACTGTTTGTAATTCTATTTCCAGGGGATCTGGCACCCTCATACAGACATGTAGGCACATAAGATAAAAATAAATGAATCATTGAAAATAAAAATATAAAATAAAATAAATGAGCATAGGGTATATGGTGACACCTTTGACCCCAGCATTCACACAGTGGAAGAGAGCACCATCTCCACAGCTGTCCTGTTTGTGTACTGCTAAGACAGATGAAGGCAAGCTTAGAAATAGTTTTTAAGCCAAGGAGCAGCTGAGCAGGTAGAGGTGCTTGCTGCACGAGGGAAGCAGAGGCAAGCAGGTTTCTGAATACAAGGCTAGCCTGGTCTACATTGAGAGACTTTGTCTCGAAAAACAAAACCAAACAAAATTAGCTAGCCAACAGAAATTCAGGTTTCATTAAAAGAGCCTTCCAAAGTCATATAATAATGCATTCAATTTTCAGGTAAGAAATCCAGCCTCCCTGAAGACATTCAAGCAAAAGGCGGGGCAGTTGCTTTTCCAGAGCAGAAAGGAAACTCATGCATCAGAAAAGGTTTGCACTTGATGGCCGGTAGCCTACCTTTACTCTTAAGTTCTCTACTTCTAGGAGATGTTGGTTAGCCACAAAACTAACACTGTTGCTATAGTCATTATATAGAGAGACCCATTATATATAGACCCGAGTGAAAGCTGTCCGTTCTCTCCAGGTTGCAGAGGGATAACCAGAAAGTAACCCTGTTTTAACACTTGCCCCTACTGTAACCAGCCATTTGAAGTGATCTCGGGAAATCAAAATCAAATAAGAGAATAACCACTACTGGAGAGATGGGTCAACAGTTAAGAGCACTTGCTGCACTTCCAGAGGACTGAGGTTCAGGTTTCAGTATCCATGTCAGGCTGTAACTGCAGCTCCAGGGGATCTCATACCCTCTGCTAGCCTCTGGAGGCACCTGGACTCACATGCATATATATCCACACATAGACACAGATTCACACAAAAGGAAGAGATTGTTAGAGACATAGTAAGAGACATTAATAAAATCACTTAGTCAGGCATGGTGGGACACACCTATAATCCTAGCACTTGGGAAGTATTTGGGTAGGAGGATCAGGAGTTCAAAGTCATCCTTGGCTACAGAACAAGTTAGAGGCCAGCCTGAGCTACATGAGACCAGAGTGACAGGAACATGAGAGGATTGGGACATCCCAGTGTACCAATCCCTGATGCAACATTTAAAGATTTCCTGTATCATGCCACTCACGTGTTGCTGAAAAAGTCAAGAATTTTAACCTGAAGAAACACGAGGTTAGACATAGGGAAAAGAGCCAGATTTTGGCGTTATTATCGTGTAAGTTTCTCAGGACCTCTAGGGAAGGAGATCAGAAGTGTCATTTTCGGTTTGAACTGGAGATAGGCTGCCTTATGTTGACAGTGTGTTGATAAAGCAAGCATGTTTCATTCTAAAGTTCCCCTCAAACAGTAGCTTTGTTTACTACTTAATTTTATGCAAGTTATATTACCAAATCTTAGGCCCCTGCAGGATACTTGGCAGCCAGAAGAGGGTGCTTGATCCTTTGGAGCTGGAATTATAGGTGCCCATGAGCAGCCTGATGTCTTGAGTGTTGGGAACTTGAGCTCTGATTATCTGGAAGAGCAGCAAGCACTCTTAACTTATGAGCATTTCTGTAGCCTCTTTATTCTGAGGTTATTACTGGCTCACATAGAACTGTGACATTAGAGATCACGTATGCCCTTTATCCAGCTTTGCACAAAAGCAACATCTTACAAAGCTAGAGTGCAGTGTCTCACCTGGGATACAGATAGAATATAGTCATGGTATAGTACATTGCTGTTTCATAGGTCTCTCATGTAGCAACACCTCACTGCTCTTCTACCCCCTTCCTTCTATAGCCAATTGCAACTCCTGCTGTGTTCTACATTCATACGATTCTGTATCATTCCAAGAATATTTCAGCCAGGCGTGGTGGTGTATGTCTTTAATCCTAGAACTCAGAGTCAGAAATAGGAGGGTCTCTGAGTTTGAGGCCAGCCTGCTCTACATAGTGAGTTCCAATCCAGTCAGCACTGCATAGTGAGACCCTGTCTCCAAAAAAAGAAAAGAATATTTCATAAAGTCATACAGTACATAATCTTTTAGAATTGACTTTTTTCTTTCTGTTGATTATTGATTACTAGCTATGTGAAGGTTTTTAAATCAGGTGAATTGATCCCTCCCAGTTTAGTCTTCATTGAGCTACTACAGTCCTTTTAATTAACATCATCTTACCTATATAAGATCTCTCGCTGAGATCTTAGTAAGATTTGCACTAAGTGTGTGTATTAGTTTTGGGGAAGTTGACATTCTTATTATATTGAGTCTTTTGGTCTATGAACATAAAATGCCTCTCTTTTTGGTATTTTTTTAATTAGAATTCTTTTGTTTTCATATAATGTACTTTGACCATTTCTACCCCCCTCAACTACTCCCAAGTCCTCCTTACCTCCTTAACCTATCTTCTTTTTTTTTTTTGGTTTTTTTTTTTGGTTTTTTTTTTCGAGACAGGGTTTCTCTGTGTAGCTTTGCGCCTTTCCTGGAACTCGCTTTGGAGACCAGGCTGGCCTCGAACTCACAGAGATCCGCCTGGCTCTGCCTCCCGAGTGCTGGGATTAAAGGCGTGCGCCACCACCGCCCGGCTAACCTATCTTCTTTATTCAGAACAAGAAACAAAACCCCACAAAAACAAAAATCAAAACAAAGAGACAAAAAAGGAATAAACAAATGCCAAAACCAAGCAAAAGAAACAAGAATCCCACAGAAATGGTGCTGAGTTCATTTTGTTGTTGTTGTTGTCTAAGTACTGCCTCTCCATTTTGGGGGTTTTTGATGTTTTTCTATAGTTTTCAAGATCTAAATGTTGTACGTGTTTTGATAGGTTGACCTCTGAATCTTTCTGGAAGGGAGTCACGGTAATTAGTATTACATTTAATTCCATTGCGCATGTGCTTGTTCTAGTTGTGGGAGTACAGTTTGGTGTGTGTGTTTGTGTGTGTCACTGAGACCTAGTTGTGGGAGTGCAGTTTGGTGGTGTGTGTGTGTGTCACTGAGACCAAGTTGCGGGAGTGCAGTTTGGTGTGTGTGTGTGTGTGTGTGTGTGTCACTGAGACCTTGCTGGGCTCCCACTGGGCTCTGAGTTCTTTGTAGTAGGTGGTCTGGGAGAGTGTCATCTCAGATGGGGGTAGGTCTGTGGCCCTCTTCCAGCCTTTGTCTTGTCTTGGGTCTCCCTGTCTTGTAGATGGTTCGGGAGAGTGTCATCTCAGATGGGGATAGGTCTGTGCCCTCTTCCAGCCTTTATGTCTTGGGTCTCCCTTCTTTGCTTCACCACACTTAGTAATGGTTTCCTTGTACCTCATAACAGGCCTCTGTCTGCAGTCTCAAGAAGCCCAGGCTGGCCTTGAACTTACCTCTTACAAAGTTGATCCTCCTGCCTCCACTCTACCTCCCAAATACTGGGATTACTCATAGCACTCAGCTGCTTGCTTCCAGTCTTAGTAGCAAGTATTCCCACTTCTAATAGGAATGTGGGTTGAATTTTTGTCATCACCCCCAACACTCAAGAACCCAAGGCAGGAGGAGCATGGGTTTGAGGCAAGCCCAAGCTACACAGTGAGACCTTGTCTTGAGGAAAACAAATATCTCAAGGAAAAACAAAAAATAATATCTTTTTTGAGGCATGAAGGACTATAATCTATATTAATGTGGAGTTCATTGAGTTTATGCTGTTCAAGGTTCATTCACCTGCTTGAATTTGTAGGTTTATGTCTTTGGCCAAATGAGGAGACCTATCAGTCCTTATGTATCTCCCTGGCTGAGAGGGGCTAACATGGCACACACTCCCTGTGTAGCCTCTGCTAGCACCACAGGAGGCCTGATCATCATGGGAAGAAGGGCAAGAACGCAAACCCTGAGTCTCCACCAGGCCTTGTGGAGTACGAGAGAGGACGACAGGTACCTCGGGCCTGCCGGTCTCTTGGAAGGTTTCACTGACTGTTAGGTCTTGGCTCTGCGGATGGGAATAAAATCCTGTTCTCTTATCAGCCTTCTCTTGACACCACTCTAGTCCAAGTGTAAAGTAGCTCATTGCAGCCTCTCGGGGGTTAAGTCGAGGCTTCCCGTTTGGCTTAAGCTAATGGTGGTGGGGGTATGGGCCATTGGAATTTTTGTTGTTTCCTGTTTTTGTTTTTAGCGATGGTGTTTGCTAGTGTGTGTGTGTGTGTTTGTGTGTGTGTGTGTGTGTGTGTGTGTGTGTGTGTGTGTGTGTGTGTGTGATTTTCTATCTTTTGCTGGTCCTTTGTTGGCGTTTTGATTAGACTAAGGCTTTGGGGGAGTCTTGTTTTTTGCCGATCCCATTTGGAGGTTGCCAGCTTCTCTAGTTTGACGCTTAGAAACAGAAAGCTCACAAAGAATTCGTCCCTGTGCTTGGATCCCAAGGCCCCTGTCAGTCTGCTGCTTGCTCGCTGCCTCTGTTTGCCTAGATTTCCTTTTTTTGTGATGCCCAGCTTTCCAGCTGTGTGTGGCGAGTGGATAAAAAAAAGGCACATCTGCACCACCCCTGAATGGTGCATGGTATTTGTAGAGGCCTGCTTCTTTGACTGGTCAGTGGTACTTAACACCGATCAAGTTGCAGTACTGTTCTACCTGGCACACAGAAGAAGAATTTATATCCTGTTACTATTAAGGCATCCTCTGAAATAAACACAGTTATGTTTTTCATTAGTCATTACTTCAGAGAAAACTGGGCTGTACCATGTGGAATGGGACCAGAATAGCAAGTACAGAAGATCTAATGCCTTCCCTTATGTCTGACTTTGTAAAAATGTCAGTGGTCATCTAACATCTTAGAAGGAAAAAAAGGATCGAAAACTCATTGGGAGTGGGGTGGTACACTCATGGTCATGAGTGGGATTATCATGTGTCACACATGATTTAATCAAAATGAGACGGTTCAGGGGTTCAGAGCACTTGCTGCTCTTGGAGAACCCAAGTTCAATTCCCAGCACCCGCATGGTAACTCACAATCCATAAAACTCCTGTAACTTTGTTGGAGACCTCGATTGTCATTCATGAACCAGTGTTGATTTGATCATCAGTAAGATTTGCTAAAGTAAATGGTGTCTGTCAGCAATTGACAGAACTTTGTGTTACATAGACTAGTAACACAGATTGAATTACAACCAAAGGACAGTTAGGGAAATTGAGGGAGAATTGAAGAATTTCCTTGGTTTCCCTTAAATCCTTACTATGAAAGGGGCTTTAGTGAGTAGCTGGCAAGACAGTAGGGCACTGTCTTACTGGGTATGTGACTAAGACAGGGCCTGTAGTTCCATAGCTAGCATTCAAAAATAACTTGACATTAAAATCGGTGAGATTATGGATGGTTTGTGATTATATGTAGTTAGAAATTTATAAAATATAAACAGCTCCCTTACTCTTGGAGTATCTTAAAAATATATAAACTGACAAGTTTTGTTGTTTTTTTTTTTAACTTTGAAATCAGGTGATTAATAAACACATTGAAAGAATATGGCTGCACAGATACCAGAATCCGATCAGATAAAACAGGTAAGATACTATAATTAAGGGGAAGGGATCTTGGCCTGTCATGGTGGTGCACACCTTTAATCCCAGCATTCAGGAGGCAGAGGCAAACTGATCTGTCTGAGTTCAAGGCCAGCCTGGTCTGCATAGTGAGTTCTAGGACAGTAGGGCTATGTAGAAACACCCTCTCAAAAGGCAGTAGAGGTGGGCCAGCCTGAGCTACATGCTTGAGGGTGGAATCATCATGAGTTAAATATTTACTCAAAATGAAGAATATATGCCCCCAAACCACATTTCAAAACATTAAAATGTCTGTGAGATGACATAAAGCATTTTCTATTTTGCTTTTGAAGCCACAAAAGCATCTTATTATGTTGCTCAGTTGGGCTTCTAAGCCTTTACACTCAAGTGATCCTCCTCAGCCCCTTAAGTAGCCAGGATATCAGACATCACTCCACTGCAGCTAGCTGTAAAACTGTATTGGACCAATGGGTGAGGAGAAAAGTCCAGCTAGAAAGTAAGACCCTGTGTTGTACGTTAAAGCTACTTAGTTAGCAGAGGTGTCCAAACGAAGGGGGGAGGGGCGTGCCAGGGTAGTCTGTCTAAGCGTCAGGACGTTTCAGAGCGTCTTTGCCTGAGTTGAAAGCACTTCTTCTTTCCAGTTTAAGGAGTTCCTGGGAACCTACAATAAGCTTACAGAGACCTGCTTTTTGGACTGTGTTAAAGACTTCACAACAAGAGAGGTGAAGCCCGAAGAGGTAGGAAAAGAGTTGCTCACTAAAAATTCCCCAAGTTTGTTACAAATCACAGAAGCCATCTAAGCATGTCATGTTCTTCTGACCGGGCTGCCACTCACATCCACCATTGCTTAGAGAAACCAAATCAGTCACGAACCCGTGACGCCAGACCATGATGCCAGGTGGGACTTGACAGTCGCACTGCACCAGGCAGACTTCAGAGACCAAGCGTGGCGTGGATGGCCGAGGTGCACGTCCAGCAGATGGTCTGTGTTTGCCTGGGGGTCAAGTCGGCAGGCTAAAGAAGCCTGGCACAGCTCTCACCGGCCCTGAGAACTTAGGTCGGCTTTAGAAAACGTGAAGTGTGAGTGTGGTGGTACATAACACTCGCGTAGACTAAAACCCAGTCCTAATCGGCATCTCAACTGTGAGTGTCCTTAGAAAGATGTTTATAGCCGGGCGGTGGTGGCGCACGCCTTTAATCCCAGCACTCGGGAGGCAGAGCCAGGCGGATCTCTGTGAGTTCGAGGCCAGTCTGGGCTACCAAGTGAGTTCCAGGAGAGGCGCAAAGCTACACAGAGAAACCCTGTCTCGAAAAACCAAAAAAAAAAAAAAAAAAAAAAAAAGAAAGATGTTTATATATCTGCTGAGAAGTCAATAAACATTGTGCCAAAATCTAATTTCATTTGTAATTTAACTTACAAAGTTTAAGAGAGATACCAAGTATGATACTTCTTTTTTAAAGGAATATGTTTTCACTATTCCTTGCCAATTTCATACTTGTAGATGATGGACCTTGATCATGTGATACTCTTGTTTTTAAAAACCATACTTTATCTATAGAAATACAATTTACATATTAAATAACACTATAGTAGAATGTTTTGATAGAAAACAGGAAAAAGGGAGAAAGATTAAGGTTGTAAAATTTTTAGTCCCTTTTCCAAAATGGGACAGATATCCTCAGTGACCAGTCATGCCGAGTCCCCGCTGCACAGGTGGTGGACGGACTTGAAAAACAAACCCAACTTTCAGTCCTGCCTCAGAAATAACACATGCCAGATGTTCCTCCATGCAGATGTGGTTCTTACTATTTGAATATCCAGAAACTTGACCTCAGATCCACCATGAAAAAATACAAATTACCACAGATTACACTAGGAAAAAATAGCTTTTATTATCCTCTTTCATGACTGAGATGTGTCCTTCTGCCCACAGTCCATCCTTATCACCTTACATTACCTTCTCATGGTCTCCTTTGTGAATTTTTGTACTTTACCGGCATTTACACCCATTTACATGTATACATGTATACGTTCTAGTCTAGGATCTGCCTGTGAGGAGAACCTGGCAGGTTCATTCTTTCTGAGCTTGGGTCACCTCAATTGATATTAAAAAGAAAAGGGTTAAGGTGGGTGAAGTTACACGTGCTTGGAACCCTAGCATTTGGGAGGCTAAGGCAGAAGATTCTGGAATCCCAGACTGGTCCTGGCTGCATAACAAGACCTTGCTCAAGAGAAAAGTAAAGGTTGTGAATTAAGACTATGCAGAAACAAGTTTCTCATTAAAAAGGAAGAAACCTTCTGCTGGGTATACATTTATCAGTCTAGTAAAGAAGGTAGGGTTGTGGGCCTTGAGTTTATAGAAAATCTGGTCCAGACCTTTCGTGAAGGCAGAGCACACCATTGCTTCTGATGCCTGTAGATTATAGGGATTTTATCAACTTTCATTCTTGCCAGTGGATGAAAGCATAAACAATTTGAAGCAGATTATTGCTTTAAGCCAAGGATACATTTAATGTGCAGATCTACCTAAAGAAAAGCAAAGTTCCAGTGGTGGCTCCTTCAGAATACAAGAATGTTTATTTTTGTGTTGCCTTTTGGACCTCCCCCTTGTATTTCTAGGTTACCTGTTCAGAACATTGCTTACAGAAATATTTAAAAATGACACAGAGAATATCCATGAGATTTCAGGAATATCATATCCAGCAGAATGAAGCCCTGGCAGCGAAGGCAGGACTCCTGGGCCAGCCCCGGTAGAAGCGTGGAGACACAGACTTGCACTGGAATGCCGCAGCTGGTGCGCTGGCCATGCGGGTTCACCTGGTGGAACCCTGCAGCAGCCCAGCAGGAGTGGAGGGGAGCCAACTGTCTAACTGCCTGACCAATGGGAACCCCTGGACAAACAAATCACCCTTCACCAGAAAGAAGCGGAGCAGAAGGCCTTCCGGTTGTGAGAGTGGTAAGAGGCGACATTGTTGAGGCCTTAAGATTCAGCTGCGTGGTCACCTTGATTACAAAAATAAACCATTGTTCCTTTCTTTGTGACTGTTAATTTTAAAAGCAAAATATGTGTCCAATCATGTATGAGATAGAAAAAATTTATTACTAAAAGTAAAATAAATGAAAGTATCACTGAGCGTTGTTTTTACTGCACAGAACACAGTATTCTGTCTGAGTTGTGATGCGCTGAGGTGTTCAGTCAGGACCATCCTTTAAGTACTTCTGTTCATACATGTCTGCCTCAAGTTGCTGGTAAATACACAAAACAGTTACTTGCTAATCATTTCAGGGCACTTTTTCCTTGCTTCTTTTGTCACATTAGATATTACACATTCTTCTCCTAGCTGCATTTTAATAAATCTTTAGGGAACATCCCTTTTGAGGCTAGCTTGGAAATGTTCATGACTATTATGCTCTATTACAGTCTTACAGTTTGTTTAAAAACTGGGAGTCCAGGCTAGTGTGGGCTCAGCAGTTAAAGGTACTTGGTACCAAGCCTGGCAACCTGAGTTCCATCAGTAGGATTGACTTACCTAGTTGTCTCCTGCCCTCCACTTACGCTATGGTGCCTGTGTGAATGCATTTACATACACACACACACCCCAACATGCATGGTTTGAGTGTAAATAATAACATACAGCTAATGTGACCAATTGAGAAAAATGAACCAGTTAAATTTGCATCTTATGGCTAATAAATTCTGAAGCAAATTCATGCAGTCACAGAAAATTCTAGCTGATAAGTTTAAGTACTTTGTTTTTGTTTTGTTTCTTAATGTAACTGGCAAAAGGAAGAGCTTTGAAGTGGCCTTTATTAGTTACCATCTAAAGTCACGTTACAGAGCACTGTTAGCCTGTGTTTATATTCACAAAGCTGTTTCTGTGTTTTGTCACATTGGTGAGAAGTACCATTCTGCTTTAACACTGAAATGTGAAAACATACAATAACATAGTACACGGTTCACTATAGTAGAACACAGAAAATAAGCTAGTCTTTCCTTAATGAAAGAATAGAACCTGAAATAGATACTACTTGAGAACCTTGAGGAGTCCACATCCATAGTCATTGTTTCTGTGTAATCAAGTCCCCCATGGTTAGACAATTTTTCACAATGATAATTAAATACGTGCTCACCTGGCAAATAAGGGGAATTTTGTACAATAGCATCTGAAATACCTCAGGAGGGAGGGTTTGTTTGAAAAACATCAGAAGCTCCTTCGGCTGCCCACACACTAAAAGGGCATTGGTGAGATGTTCAATCCCTATTCCAGGCTCTCCTGAAACAGATTGGTACATATTAAGCAAGAAAAAAAAATGGAAAGGGATGTTTTTAATTATGTGTATATAATTATGTGTTTAATTATGTGTATATAATTATGTGTTTATAATTATGTGTATGTGTGGGGGTCTATGAGTGTGTGTACACATGAGTGCAATGCCTGGAACTGGAGTTTGGGAGTCTTGTTTGTTTTGAGGTAGGGTCTCTATGTAGTCCTGGCTTGCTATGTAGACCAGGATAGCCTCAGACTCCCAGAGATCCTCCTGCCTCTGCCTCTGCCTCCTGAGTACTGGTATTAAAGGTATGCGCCACCACACCTGACCTTCTGGAACTGGAGTTACAGATAGTTGTGACGTACTTGATGTGAATGTTGGGAATAGAACCAGAGCCTCTTATGAACTAACTGGTACTCTGTAAGGGAAGAACAGTAGGAGCTCCTAACTGCTGAGCCATCTCTCCAGAGCTCAGGCCAAGATTTTAATACTCTTTAAAATGGATATTCTACAAATTACCAAGAAAGCAGCAAGCATTAAAAGGTAAACGCATGTCAACCGGGTGGTGACACACTACTTTAGTCCCAGCACTCTTCGGAGGCAGAGAGGCAGGCAGATCTCTGAGTTCCAGGCCAGCCTGGGCTACAGAGCAAGTTCCAGTACAGCCAGGGCTACACAGAGAAACCCTGTCTCAAAAATCCTAAAAACAGCCAGGCAGTGGTGGTACACACCTTTAATCCTAGCACTCGGGAGACAGAGGTGGGTAGATCTCTTATGAGTTTGAGAACAGCCTGGTCTACAAAGCAAGTTCCCGGACAGCCAGGACTGTTATACAGACAAACCCTGTCTCAAAAAATAAAAAAATAAAAAATCCTAAAAGAACCTGATGACTATGACGAGTCAAGAGCCCAGGTATGAGGGAGCTGCTGCAGGGTAAATAATTCTATGAGGTTACACAGCTTACTTGCCTTTTAGGCATGCACACTTGCATGGGACTGTTCTGTACTGGGACATGGAGGATGGCCATGCAAGGTTTTTTAGTCTTGTAGTCTTTTTGTTAGTATGGGGTAGATCATCCATGTTTGGTAACGTGTGAGAGCTGAAACATCTGGTGTGGTATTAGTGTTTTGTCTTTGTGTGTGTCTGTGCACTGTGTGCATGCAGGGTGTCAACAGAAGCCAAAAGAGGACATTGCGTTCCCCTGGGACTGGATGGAGTTAGATGGTTGTGAGCCACCATGTGGATGCTGGGGATGGGACCTGAGTTCTCTGGAGGAGCAGCCGGTGCTCCTAACCACTGAGCCATCTCTCCAGCCCCATTTTGGTTGTTTTGAGACAAGGTCTCACCATGTAGCCTTGGCTGGCTGAGAACTCACTATGTCATTCTGGCATCAAGCTACTGCCTCTGTGGTTAAACTTTTAAAAAATAAACTGCATTATCAAAGCACCAAACAAGACTTAATATAACACAAATTACACATTCTGATGAAAAAAGATAAGCCACTTTTTAGAATGAAAAGACCCCGTTTGCATTTTTGTTCCAATCATTCCCAAATTTATACCTTACTCACCTGTAAGTTTAAACTATTATGTGATAGCTCTTTGGGAATAAAATGTGATATAATATGTATGTAGTTTTGTGTTAGCATCAGAGATGTTCATTACTTCTCAGATATCATTAGATGATTTAATTGAAGAGTGTACTTAGAATAGCCTACTGCATGCCTAGGCCATATAGTGTACACTCATACGTGCATTTCACTATTAACAAAAACAGCCTGACATTTTTCCCTGTTGACTTTAAATTCACATTTTAATTCCTCACATTTTCAATAAAAATTAAAGCTGAAAAGTTTTGTCCATTTCAGTTTCTCCATGTCCAGGAAGCATCCAGGTGGTTCTGTGTGAATGTTTCAATCCCATGCAGTATCAGGATTTGAACTGAAGTTCTACCACTGAGGTACATTGCAAACACATCCACAGCTAGCAATTACTCCATATTTTATGAGCCCCCTTGTTATGGAATATTAGTTGAAGATGTTTTGCACTTATGCTGTGGAATATTTAATGATGCAAAGATGTTTTGCATTTGTTCAACTGTGAAGCTGTGTTACTTTGTCTGCCTAAAACACCTGATTTGTCTAATAAAGAGCTGAACAGCCAAATAGCTAGGCAGGAGAGAGAGATAGATGGGGCTGATGGGCAGAGAGAATGAATAGGAGGAGAAGTCTAGGGAAAAGAGGAGTGAGAAGAGAGGAGAATGCCAGGGGCCAGACACACAGCCAGCCATGGAGTAAGAAGGGAAGGAAGTAACAGAGAATAAAAAAAAGGAAAAAAGCCCAGAGGCAGAATGTAGTTAAAAAGGAACAGGATAATTTAAGCTAGAAAAACTGGCTAGAAACAAGCCAATCTAAGGCTGGGCATTCGTAAGTAAGAATAAGTCTCTGTGTATTTATTTAGGAGCTAAGTGGTGGGCCCCCAAAGAGTAAAAGAGCCAGCTACACCCCCTAGCTTATTCAATTCGAGGAATCCTGTTTAGGAAAAGTACATAAAATTATGAATAAAAAAATGAACTGGGACTTGAAAAATTGAGATATCTAGCATAACTTCTAGTAGCTTGTGTAGAGTTACTCTTGTTATATCACCATGTCAGTTCTAGTTTGATTGAAGTTGAATTTTAGTTCATTTAAAAAATGACCATCTGGGGGCTGGAAAGATGGTTCAGTGGTTAGGAGCACTAACTGCTCTTCCAGAGGATTCGGGTTCAGTTCCCAGTGCCCATATGGCAGCTTAGAACTGTCTGTAACTCTACTTCCAGGGGATCCAATTTCCTCACACAGATACACATGCAGGCAAAACATCAAGGCACATAAAATTTTTAAAAATTAAAAATGACTACCTGAGAGCTATTGAATAAAATATTAAATTTTATAATTATGATTAATGTACAATAGTTTTAAGAGCTTTACCCCTTCCCCAAAAATTATCATGTTTTCGAGCTGAGTAACAACAACCATGGGCACTGTTACAAGCTGTGCAGGATCTTGATTCCTTTTTTTGTTTAGAAAGTTTTTTTGTTTCTTTTTAAAGAGTTTATTTCATAGATATGAGTGTTTTGCCTGCATGTATGTATGTGTATCACATGCATGCAGAGCCCACAAAGGTCAGAAGAGAAGAGTTGCCCTGTTCTGATTGTTGTGGATTGCTAGCCACCGTGTGGGTGCTGGGACCTAAACCCGGGTCCTCTGCAAGAGCAACAAGTGCTCTTGACCACTGAGCCCCCTCTCCGGCCCCTTCCTCCTTGTTTTTATAAGTCCTGGATAATGCTACCCACTTACATACAGTCTAATACATAAGATCTTTTGGAAAAAAAAAAAAGAAGAAGAAGAAAGAGGGCCCAGCGGCACAAGCCTTTAATCCCAGCAGTAGGGAGGCAGAAGCAGATGGATCTCTGAGTTCCAGGACAGCCTGGCATACAAAGAAACCTTGGGGGCAGGGGTTGGACAGAGAGAAAGAGAATGCACAGTTTGTCCTACAGTTTCACACATACATTAAATTACATGTAATCAAAAGTATTTCTTGAAGTGAAAAACGAACTGTGGGGCTAGAGAGGTGGCTCAGGGCTTAAGAGCACTGGCTACTCTTCCAGAGGACCTGGGTTCAGTTCCCAGCACTCACTGAGTGGCTCACAACCTTCTGTAACTCCAGTTCCAGGAGATCTGACTCCCCCTTCTGGCCTTTGAGGACACTTCATGCATGTGGTGCACAGACATACTCAAAAGTAAAGTAAAAAAGAAAACAGGTGATGTGATATGCAGGGAGCTTGTAAAGCTTGAGGACAATACTTAAGAAGATGTCGCTGACTCTCCATCACTATCAACTACCCCTTCTCTGCGGCACAGCAAATTCTTTTCCCTAGCTGTACTAAGCACCAGAATCAAGACCCCATTACTACATTAGTACAGAGTGGGTATCGCCTACTAACATTTTAACAATGTTGTGAGGTCTTCGCAGGTGCTTCTAGAATTGGGTAAAAGTTAAATCACATGTGGTCATGAAGTATAGGTCCTTATTAGGCCCAAATTAACTAAATTAAATTAAATAAACTAAATTAAACAGTACAATGGCCTTTTTTTTTTTTTATCATTGAAAGTGTTTAGAATATTCAAATCAGAAAAAGTGGTTTTGTTCTTTGAGACAAGGTTTCTCCATGTAGGCCTGGCCCTCCTGTAGCTCACTAGGTAGATCAGGTTGTTCCTGAACTCAGAGAAAGCCTCCTGTCTCAGCCTCCCATATGAGGGATTAAAGGCATGTGAGACCATATGTGGCAGGAAAATTTTTATAATGCATTTTAGGTGATTTTTGGAGACACTCACTCTGTTGCCCAGGCTAGCCTCAAATTCACTCTGCCTCTTGAGTTCTGAGATTACAAGTATGTTCTACCATACTCAGGTTAAAAATTTTGATTCTTAATATTTGATAATCTAGGAATTTCATTTACTGAGGTTTTTAAATGAAGTTAAGCCTTTTGATATTTGTCTCTATTTCCCTACTGACCTATTTCCAAGATTCAGCCTCACAATGCTAACTCAGTGATGGGGTGGGGTCAGTAGCACCAAGTCAAGCTTCTTATAACTGAAGTGAGTTGGTTACCACATAGCTAATTTGCCTGATATTAAATATTAACCAGTGTTTCCTTTTTATTTCCCCTCTCTATGTCATAGTCCAGGCTAGCCTCAAACTCAATCTTCCTGCCTCTGCCTCTCAAGTACTGAGTTTATACAAATATGCCACCGTGCCCGGCGAATCAAATCGTTTTTGAAAAAAAATGATTTAAAATTTACAAAATCCCTGGGTGCATGCCCTTATTCCCAGCACTTGGAAGGCAGAGGCAGGCGTTCTCTGTGAGTTTACGGCCAGCCTGGTCTACAAATTGAGTTCCAGGACAGCCAGGGTTATACAGAGAAACTCTGTCTTAGAAAAAACAAACAAAGAAAAAAACTTACAAAAGAATGTTTTTATTCTTACCTCTAACTAAACAAAGTTGTCCCATCTGCACCTCTTGTAAAAAAAATTCTTGTAGCTTTTCCTTCCTTGCTGGATCCCATAACTAAAGGATTTATAAAATATGTAACAATGAGTAATGAATGTAAGGTATATAGATGCTCTCAAAATTTATTATTATTTTTAAAGTACCTCTTAACAAATAAATACACATATTTAAAAAAGAAGCGACTCTTAGGCCAGGCTAGTGGACACATCTGTGTTCTCAGCACTTGGGAGGCAAAGGCAGGTGGACAGAGCCTTGTGTTCAGAATGTTCCAGACCAGCCAAGACTACAAAATGAAGTTCTGTCTCAAAGATAAACAGCATAAAAGACACCTCTTAACTCTCATCTCTAAATCCAATGGATGGCAAGTGTTTCTCTGATCAATTTCTAACGTGGAGTTACAGTTTCAGGGGACAAGAGAAAAGCTTGGCATCAGTTAGTTGAGATGCTCACGGTAACCCTCATCCCTGTCTTAGCCGCCCCGCCTTTAATAGCAGACCTCGGTACGGACACAGTGACAGTAGCTTTGTCTGTTGAAGGATCGTTTCCCTGTCTGGGTTAGTGGCAGTGCCTGGTAATGCAGCAGTGTGATTTTCTGCACTAGGAGGCCATTTTTGTCATTTACTTGTGATTCCTAGTCAGTGAGCTAACAAAGCTTCTATACTCACACTTTCTCAGAGAGGGTTAAAGTGCATGGTTGGGGTGGGGTGGCATGGTGGTTGGTGACTGGCTAGAACACTTTGGTTTGCTGCAGCCAAGGCCACATATGACGTCATCAAGGCTACCGTGCCTAGGGCTGGGCTTTCAGGCAGGTCTGAAAAGGGATCACCTTAGGTCAGTTAAACGGGGAACCATTAGTGATGATAGGTTTTACTGGGTACATGTTTAGCGAGCACTAGCAAGAGTGGAGGTCTAGAAACAACTAGAATGGAGACCCCTGAGCCCAGCCCCTCCCCATAGTCTATAAAAGGATTGGTAGCACGACCTACGCCCAGTCTAATGGCCTTTGGGGCTCAGGGTGGAGAATCAGGGATGGTTCCTTAGAAAAGAGCACTTGAGATAGGAAGGTTAATAAACTTTGATGAACACATAAGCACAAAATTCCAGGGAATCTTTAGATTATACCAGAATGAATATAACCAAAATAATAACGACCAGTCACTGAAGGCCAGCTATGGAATAGGACTTAACCATAAATTATTAGTCACACTTAGGAAGACAGGCGGTTATACAGAGGGCGGTGTGCCAAGATGCAGCTGGCCTTTAATTTGCAAGATGGGAAGTTACTCTGAGGAAATTCAAAGTCAATATGGAAGAAATGGAAATGAGAATGGGGTATGAGAGAAAACACAGAAAAATAAGAATTGAATATTGAGTATGAAGATGAGGTGGTTGTTTATGTGAAATGAATTAAGGCCATAGCAGAGATACCATTGGACACCACAAACGGCATAAGGAAATGGGAGAAGCCGTAACAGGCAGAAGGAGTAATTTACCTGTGAATACACAGGCTGGAATGCCAACAGGAACATGCAGGTAAGGGGCTGAAGTGTGGGACACATCTCAGGACAGCTAAGATCACTTTGGGAGGGGACCAAGCTCTTCCAAGGAGAAAGGGGTGGAGGTCTAGAGCCTGAGGGCATTCTGATTTTCCCCAGAAAGAATCAAACTGAGTGTGCTGGTGAAACGTAGTGTTTAGGCTCCACCCAGACCTGCAAAGGAAATCCCGGACCAGGGCTCAGAAGTCAGCATCTCCGACAAGCTCTCAGGTGCTTTCAGGCACTCCTCATTCTTAGACTCGCTGGTGCAGTTAGGGTTTCCTTGGCAATGTCTGACTGTGTGAACCATCAAAGGCAGTTCTGGTTTGGTCAGCTGATGTTTGCTCTGCGTGTTTTGTTTGTGTTTGTGCATGTGAGTGCATGTGTGTACGTGCACATAGAAACCAGAGGATCCACCCAAGCACTGGGATTTCAGGCACCCTCCACCAGATCCAGTTCTGTTGCTCTTGGTTTTTGATTGCCAGTGTGGGTTCTGGGGATCAAACACTGTACTGAATGAGCTTTCTCCCAGCCCTATTGAGGCGGAGTTCTGCTATGCAGCCCAGGCTGGCCTTGAACTCACAGTCCTCCTGCCTAAGATTCCTAAGTGCAGTAGGAGTACAGATATGCCCCACCACACAATGGCTGGCTTCTGTCTGCACTTTCTCCTTTCTCAAGGCCATAGGTCGATCTAATGAGGTGGACCTGTAGAGCATAGGTGGGAAAGGAAGGCCCTGGTGTGAGGAGGAAGGAAACACCATCAGAGGTATGAAGAAAGAATATTTGTTTGGGTTTATTCATCTACACAATGAAAAAGTTTAAGAATTATGTGAAAAAAAAAATCTGAAAAGACCTGCTTCTTCATGACTATACTTGAAGTCATTTGGGTTTTCATGATTTCAAATGCAGACTTGTCTGTCTTTAGCCCTCCACCTACCCAGTGTTCAACAGATATTTGATGGACAAATACAATGTGCCAGACACTAGTCTAGATACAGAGTCAGTGGAGAGTAAAACACAGACAAGGTTGTGAGAAGCCTAGTCTAATAAATAAGAAACAATCAAATAGACACACACACACACACACACACACACACACACACACACCAAGTGCAAAGGCAACCATCATGGATACAGAGGAGGGCACGAGCTGTATCAGACCCTGCCCAAGTGAAACTGGTCAGGGAAAGGCATCTCTATACTTGTGCCCTGCTCCTTGGACACTCCCTGTTTGCTTCCTTAAAAGTCAACATATAGACTCTGTCCTTTTTTTCCTTGTCTCAGTCCTCTAACTAGTGAGCACGAGCTGCCTATTCTCCCCAGGTAAGTCGCCTCTGCTCTCGCAAGCCCAATCACCCCTGACATCACCAGAGACTGTGATTTTTCTTGCTGCTCCCCTGTGTGACTGCAATAACTTCTTTTCTAATCCTTCTAGCACACCCATTCCTGATCAATCTAAGGGTTTTTGTTTCTTTTTTTTTTTCCTTTTATTCTTTAAAAATGTTCCTGCTCCGAAATCATCAGTGGTTTCCTACTAAATCTGGATCCCTTAACCTGGGCTCAGACCAAGCCTTCTCAGATTCTGTCACTACTTAGCCCAGCTTTACCAGACACAGTTCTCGGCAGTGATTCCTTTGCCAAGCTGACTTACTGATCAAGCCCTGGCATAGTCCCTTCATCCCTGTGCCTGTGCACCACCTTCAACCCTGAAGACTTCCCTGATACCATACCCCAAGTTCATTGTCATTATTGACTCCGATCAGTGACAGCCCCAAAGTCTTCTGTAGAAAAAAATTGATCTCCCCACCCCCCCCCAAAAAAGTCACAACAAATATTCCCTATTTTAGCATCTCTTTTCAGAACCTTGTCTCTCTATCATGAGCTGGAGTCTATTTCCTCTCTGCTTGAAATGGAGCAGTTCTTGGGCAGGGCCATGAGGAGAAGCATTGCCTGGCATGCTCTCCTGTCTCTGCATGTACTCCAATGCACTGCGTTCTCCTCTGTGTTCAGTGCATATACAGGATCTATACCTGCCTGCTTACCCCTGGGAACCCAAACCAGTTCAAGCAAAGTCAACACCCAGAATTGTTGGGGAATATTATTTTAAGGTGTGTTACTTTTGTTGATGTTGCATTTGTCTAACTCTGTGAAGCTGTGTTACTGTGCCTGTCCAAAAGACCTGATGATCTAATGAGAATATATAGAGGGAAAAATCTGGGGAGAAAGAAGAGATGGAGGAGTGAAGGATCTAGGAGCCAGAAGCCAGAGAAGGAGGAGGACTCCAGGGGCCAGCCACCCAGCTACACAACCAGCAACGGAGTAAGAAAGAAAGGTATACAGGAATAGAGAAAAGTAAAAGCCCAGAGGCAAAAGACAGATGGCTTAATTTAAGTTAAGGAAAGCTGGCAAGAAATAAGCCAAGCTAAAGCCAAGCATTTGTAATTAAGAATAAGCCTCTGTGTGTGATTTATTGGCGAGCTGGGTAGCAGGCCCCCAAAAAGAGACAGAAGATCCTAGAGAGTAAAAAGTAACCAACCACACAGCATCAGCTGGCAAATGTGAGGATGTGCTCTCGGATGACCGACTCAACAATCTCCCTGGAGCCTGCCTCGCGGAAGCCAAGTAGAAGGTGTCATTCCCCACCCTAACGGGCTCAAACTGCAGACTCAGAAGCCAAGAACTATTTTACAGACACTAAGCTCAACCAAGCTGAAGAGCCACTGTACTAATCCCACACTGAAAATGTTTTCTCTAGGATCTTGTTACATGTGTTGGCTTTGTTTGTCCACTGCCTTGTGTGGTATTGTGTTCCCCCAAATATTGTGCATGCTAATAAACTTATCTGGGGTCAGAGACAGAACAGCCACAATATTAAACATAAAGGATAGGCAGTGGTAGCACACGCCTTTAATCCTAGCATTCCAGAGGCAGAAATCCATGTGTTCAAGGATACAGCCAAGCATGGTGACTCGGTGCCTTTAATCCCAGGGAGTGGTGGTAGAAAGCAGAAAGATATGTAAGGTGTGAGGACCAGAAACTAGAAGCTTTTAGCTGGTTAAGCTTCAGGCTTTCGAGCAGCAATTCAGCTGAGAGCCATTGGGATGAGGACACAGAGGTATCCAGTCTGAGGAAACAGGACCAGCTGAGAAGTTGGCCAGGTGAGGTTAGCTGTGACTTGTTCTGTCTCTCTGATCTTCCAGCTTTTACCCCAATAACTGGTCTCAGGTTTGACTTTATTAATAAGACTCTTTAACATTCCTGCTACAGCCTTGCTTTGGGGTGATTCTTACACCCCTGTTATTGTTAATCTCTGCCAGGCCTACCTGCTGGGGATGTCTTTCTGTATGCTGTGAATGTGTTGCTCTGATTGATTGATAAATAAAACGCTGATTGGCCAGTAGGCAAGAAGTATAGTATAGGCAGGACAAAGAGAGAGGGAAATTCTGGAAAGTAGAAGGCTGAGTCAGGAGACACTGCTAGCTGACACCGCCATGAGAAACAAGATGTAAAGTACTGGTAAGCTATGAGCCACTATAATTATCTTATAGATTAATAGAAATGGGCTAATTTAAGATATAAGAACAGTTAGCAAGAAGCCTGCCACAGCCATACAGTTTATAAGTAATATAAGTCTCTGTGTGTTTACTTGGGTCTGAGCAGCTGCAGGAGCCAGGTGGAGACAGGAAAACTTCAGCTACACCTGCCTTAGTGCCTCACACATAACTGGACCTTAAGCAGGCACAGGTGACCGCCTGAAATATGGAGTGAGACTCTTGCACTTTTGAGCTCATGGAGGTTAACTAAAGCTGAGCCAATAACCAAGATGACCGGTTCTCTTTAAAAAATTATTAATTGGGGGGTGTGGCTGAAGAGATAGCTCTGTGGTTAAGAGCACTGGCTGCTCTTCTGTAGGACCAAAGTTCAATCCCTGGCATCGACATGACAGCTGACATCCTTGTGTAACTCCAGTCCCAGGGAGTCAGATGCTCTTTTCTGACCCCCACAGGAAGCAGGTGTGCAGTTGTATGTAGACAGTCATGGCAAGAAAAGCCTCCATACACATTAAAAACAAACAAACAAACAAATAAATAAATAAATAAATAAAATGACCAATCCAAGACAGTGAATTGGCTCAGCACTAAACGTGCTTTTCACCAAACCTGACCACCTGAGTGGATACCTGGGACTCAATGGGAGGAGAGAATAGATCCCCTCAAGCTGTCTTCTGACCTTCGCATGTGGGCCATCCTTTCCCTCTGTCTGAAAAACAAAAGCAAAAACAAACAAACAAAAAATAACAACTCCGGGCGCATGCCTTTAATCTCAGCACTGGGGAGGCAGAGGCAGGCGGATCTCTGTGAGTTCAAGGCCAGCCTGGTCTACAGAGTGAGTTCCAGGACAGGCACCAAAACTACACAGAGAAACCCTGTCTCGAAACACCAAAAAAACAAAAACAAAAAACATAAAATCTCAACTAGTCCATCATATTCCTTGTTGGCTGGCCTGGGGACCTATGCACCCTGTGAGGTTACACGGGAAGTGCAAGTCTCTCTTCTTTCTTCCAAGTAAAAAAGTGCCTGTTCCTACATTTGCTTTACAGACGCCTCTCTTTTTTTGATAGTATCTTGTTTGGCCCAGGCTAACCTCGAACTCCTTCTTTCTGTCTCAGCCTCCCAAGTGCTGATCCTTCACACGTGTGCATTGAGCCCTGTTCATACTAAAAAACAAAAACAAAAACAAAACAAAAAACCCACATTATTTTCTATGTGTATGGGTGTTTAACCAGCATGTATATCTGTGAGCACATGCCTGGTGCCTCTTGGAGGCCAAGAGGGTGTCTGATCCCCTGGACTGGGTTACAGATGGCTTGTGAGCCATCGTGTAGGTGCTGGGTATCAAACCTGGGCCCTCTGGAAAGGCAGCCTGGACTCTTAACCACTGAGCCATATCTCCACCACTCCTACTGTGTTCTTATCAAACCGACTTTTCCCTTCTTCGCTTGCTTCCCCTTTGTAAAGAAGGTTGAAACTTGGTAAAGCAGGTGTCCGGCACTGGCAGGACTCCCCTTGGGCTTCTAGAAGGCTCCTTGGCGGGTCTGTTGCACTTCACCTGCCTGGCGCACGCCTGGGCCTTGGGCTGTGCAGCTCTTCTCCCTGCAAACACAGGCACGGGCGGGTTGGGAGCGCCGGATGGCGTGGGCCCGGGTCCCCGGGGCGCCAACCTGGGAACCAGCCCGGGCTCGGCCGCCCTCCCTCCCGCCGGCCGCGCTGGCACCCACGGTCCCGCAAGCAGCGCCGGAACTCGGGGTCTCTACGCCGCCTCCGGTCCAGGTAGACGCAGTAGCCGAGCAGGGCGACAGCGCCACCCGCCGCCAGGGCCGCCAGGAGGCCGACGCCGATGCGGACGCTGCGCATCGGGCTGCCCAGCGAGCGTTGGGCGCGGGCCGGCCACGCGTGAGCAAACCCGGGGTCCCGAACCCAGATCCGCACGACTCGGAATTCCGAGCCTTCTCCAGACAAGACCCATCCCCGCGGCCGGCGCTTGCCGGCCTTCTTAGGCTGCTTGGATTTCCCTTGTGATTCATTTGGTCCCAGATCAGCCCATCCCTAGCCGGTGCTGGCCAGCCTGCTCTCCTGGGTGCCCGGAGCACTCATCATCCAAGTTCTCCACCCACCGTAACTCAGGAGAACGGAAGGATTCTGAAGTAATTAGTCTAGGCGACAACACGCAACAAACAAAATTGTTATTTTGTTGGTGCTTTTCTTTTTACGTTTGCTTTATTCAGAAAACACAACAAAAAAAAAATTTCCAGATTTTGTCCCAAATACCATAACCCAGATAACGACAATAAAACTAAAATTTGTTTTTTCTTTTTACTTATATGTATGGGTGTTTTGCCTGAATGTATGTGTGTCCCGTGCATGCCTAGTGCCTGCAGAGGTCAGAAGAGGGGGTCTGATCCCCTGGAATTGGAGTTACTGACGCTTGTGAGCTACCACGTGGGTGCTGGCAAACCTGGTCCTCTCCAAGAGCAACAAATGCTGTAACCACTGAGCCATCTCTTCCAGGCCCATTTTAATTTTTCAACAGTGTTCCATGTAGCTCATGGTGGCCCTGGTACTCTTCCTGCCTCAAGTTCCAAGAGTACTTAATAATTTTTGTTGTGGGTTATTCAACTGTTACCTACTAATTTGCTACTTAACTAGCGTTATTATTGCCATAGCAAGGCAATCCTAACAGCTCTAATTCCAGTGGGGTTGAGAAATAGCCTTGGCCCTCAGTCTTAGCCTTAGTGGAAGTTACATACGGCTTTCATGAGTAGTGTATGTTATTCCTATGATAACTTGAGTCTTCTAGTTGGGAAGTTTGTTATGAAAACCTGGCTGTAAACACAGGGCAATATCATGATCTGGTGTAATCTGGGACTGTTGTGTCATGAAAATTTTCCTGGGGAGACACAACACACACATACTCACTCCAGATAGGGATCCCATGCGCGGCCAAAGTATGGACACCACCAAAGTCCAACTTAGCGACCAATGAGTTTGATTTATTTACAGGAATATGGGCCAGGGGTTACTTAGCGGAGCAGGAATGACTGGAAGACAGCTGAATTACCAAGCCCCCCCCCTCCCCCCGGCGTGGGTGACAGCTCACAGAAGCAGGGAACCTGGACCACACGGCTGCCTGCATCAGCTCACTGGGTTGGAGCATCCTTTCCTGGCGACATTCCTAAACCTCTTCGGGGCAGCTTGGTTGGTCGCCGTTTCTTTGAGAGAGCTGGTCCGATCTCGAGTCTTCTTTGCAGCTTCCTTCCATCTGAGGAGGACTCAGCTTTTATCGCTTACCGTGGCCGGGAGGGGCCTAATGAACCTGGTCACACATGCTGCGCGGGTTCCAAACTGAGGTCCTCAGGTTTGCACAGCAAAGCACTTTACCTACCGGACCGTCTCCCCAGCACTCTGGGACTGACTTTTGATGGAAATCCCGAGTGCTGCAGTTAGCTCCCAAAGGTGTTAAGGCTGGCTGTAACTTCTACCGCCACAGCCTACCTACAGTATATTGTGGTCTTTGACTTTCACTGATCTATAGGGTGAGTCTCTAGTCTAAGAGAGAGAGGTGGGGCCAGAGACGTGTTCAAGTGGAACATGAACAGTGACGTAGGAAGGAGGGCAGTGGTGGTGGCACACGCCTTTGATCCCAGCATTCGGGAGGCAGAGGAAGGGGGATCTCTGTGCGTTCAAAGACAAAGGAACAAGTTCCAGGACTGCCAGGGCTACACAGAAGAAACCTTGTCTTGTAAAACAAACAAACAAAAAAGGAAGTGACAACTCCCACAAAAAAAATGAGAAATAAACAGCGTCACTTAAAATTACCAGAGCTCATGAAGAAAATGGTTGGGAAAAACTCAGGCAAGTCTCTACAGTAAACACAGATATTCTTACCTCAGATACGGACACCAATCTTGCTACATTGGTAACCATAACCCCTGTAAAGCTCCGATATCTTCAAACTAAGACTGTATTCATAGCAGTTCCCAAAGCATGGCTTTACCCTGAGTAATAGCTGCCCTGTTAGTGAGCCCTGAAGACATGGCCTAGAGACAGTAGGTGACACACGTTTATACAGCACACAACCAGGTCAGTTCTGACATCCATATACAGCCTGAAGCCACCACTGAAACCAGGACATGGTCAGACCCAGTCCTTGCCGTGTGCCACCTCCTTCAGTCCTGACATTGGTAATCTGTGTCTTTCTCTAGCAGTGCGTCACGACCCCTTTGGGAGCCGAATGACCCTTTCACGGGGGGTCGCCTAAGACCATCAGAAAACAGAGATATTTACATTACGATTTATAACAGCAGCAGAAGTACAGCTGTGAAGTAGCAACAAAAATAATTTATGGTTGAGAGTCACCACAGCATGAGGAGCTTCATTATAGGGTCACAGCCTTAGGAAGGTTGAGAACCTCCTGCTCTAGTTCTCAAGCATCTAACAAGTTTATCCATTCCATCTACTTCCTCAAATATCTAGGTAACGCTTTGGAGTCCAGCACTGTCCCGTTCCACACACTCTGTTCAACTGCAACTCTGCTGTAGGACACGACATACAAAAAGCACTCTATTACTATGTTGGACCAGGTGCTTCCAGGGAACAAAAAGTGATTTCTGCAAATAAAAGTCCTTTTATTAGTACCAGTCTGTTGTAGACATCAGCAGTTTCCATGTCTTTCAAACCAATACTTCAGTAAGATTAGTTATCACCTAACCAAATACCCCGCAGTGGTGGCCATTTTGATAAGCTACAATGTTCATTACAAACAGTGCTACAACTTGTCCATGTCCTTTTTGATAGATACAGTGACAATTACTACAGAGTAAATTCCTACAAGTGGTCTATCTTGATAAAAGTATGTGTGTACTTTATCAGCAAGGTATTACCAAAATACCCTCCCCAAATACACTTCTATACTTATGCTCCCCATCAACACTGAAAAGATTTCAGAAAATGCCACTCAGAATTCTGTGTACCCTTTGACCTACAAGTTCCAGTTTCTAAAATTTGTGCTACCAGATCTTATGTAATTGATGGTTAAGATGGCTAGACGTTGGAAAAAAGGACTCAAAAATTAGATTAAGAGATATGCAGTACAGCGGAGTAAACAATAATGTGGAGTAATTACTCATTAATACAAAACGGAGTTCACGGTAGACATTCCAGTGAAAACAGCTAGCTTTGGGACCAGTGACCAGAGGGATGAGGTGAAATCCTCCAGCAGGGTGACACTGTCCACGCTGCTGAGTCCCTTCTGGTGGCTGCTGGCTCCTGAGCAGTCGGCAGGTGTCTCTCTTCATCCTTCAGCACCTTCGAAGTTCTACGAATACCAACCTAACTGGCTGGATGTTGGTCTAAGCGCAGGGACCACTGTCTCCATCTTACTGTGGTCCTATTCATCCAACAACATAAGGACGCTGTACAGTATGATAGAAGAAGTGAACGGGAATCAACTTTGGAAACAAGAATGCAGTATTGCTGTGTATAAAGACAGTTCCTCTGCATTCACTGACCTGCCAAACTGTGAATGTGAAAGGTGAATGTGAATATGTTCTGTCAAGTCAGCACTTCTGTGATTTTCATTCATGAAATAAAAACAATGTAAAAATAGTATCTATTGATGTTTAAAACCATTTTTATATTTACTTGTGTATGCACGGGTGCATGGGTGCACACGCATGCATGTGCCAAGGTGTTTGTGTGACGGTCAGAGCTGGTGGGTCTCCCCTTCACCATGTGAATTCCAGGGATTCTACTCAAGCTGTCAGGCTTGGCAGCAAGCATGCTTCCCTGCTGAGCCATCTCAGTGGGCCTTACTGATGTTTCTCAAGTCAGTGTTTTCAAGTTCAACGCTGGTATTTTTTTTTTTTTTTATTCACAGAGCAAAAGACGTACAAGTAAATCCACCAAGAGGTGAGAAGTGGTTATTTCTGGGCCAGCGAGACAAACTAGCCCAGGGAGCCAAGGTACCCTTCAAAATGAAAACATGAATAGATTGTCTAGACTTTGCACTCCCTCCACCCCATCAACCAAGGTTTGGTGTCATCATATTTTAGCATGTGACAGCTTAAAAGGAAAAATAAAGAATAGGAAGTAACAAGAGATTAAAAGCTAAAAATTGGTTGTGCCTGGTGATTTGTGTTGGTAATCCCAGCACTTGGGAGGACAAGGCAGAAGGATTTTTTTTTTTGGGGGGGGGGGTTGAGACAGGGTTCCTCTGTGTAGCTTTGGAGCCTTTCCTGGAACTCGCTTTGTAGCCCAGGCTGGCCTTGAACTCACAGAGATTTGCCTGCCTCTGCCTCCCGAGTGCTGGGATTAAAGGCGTGTGCCACCACTGCCTGGCAGCAGAAGGATTTTGAGTTTAAAACTACAGACCTGCATCTCGAAGAACTGTCTCAAAAAAGAAAGATGGTTCAATGGTAAGAACCCTTGCTGCGGAAGTGTAAGGACCTGAGTTTGGATACTAGCACCCACGAAAAACTGGACATGGTAGTGTGTCCATCTGTAGCACCATGTGGGGGCTGAAGACAGGAATGATTGCTGGGGCTTGTTGGCCACCAGCCTAGGTTCAGGCTCAGTGAGAAACCAGGTGTCAAAGGAATAAGGCAGGTAGAGCAGGACCCAGGACGATCTTCTCTGACCTCTGTACACATATGCACACACATACCTGCACATACATATGCATACACCACACTCCTCTGGCCTCTATACACATATGCACACACATATGCATATACCATACTCCTGGCCTCTGTACACATAAGCACACACATACCTGCATATACATATGCATGTACTACACACTCCTCTGACCTCTGTACATATATGCACACACATGCACATATATATGCATACACCACATACTCCTCTGTACACATATGCACACACATACCTGCGAATACATATGCATACACCACACATACACACAGAAGAAAACAAAACCAACAAGCTCAAAACAACAAACCAAACTAGCACCTAAAGATAGCACGGGCAATTAATTCTTCCTGCTTCTCAAGAGCTGAGCTTGCCGACGTTCTGATGCCTAGCAAACGGTTTCTGATAAGATTGCAAGCCATAGAGTAGGGGGTAGTGGTGCATGCTTTTAATCCCAGTGCTCAGGAGACAGAGGCAGAGGCAGAGGCAGGAGCATCTCTGTCAGTTCAGGACCAGCCCTGGTCTCCACAATGAATTCCAGGACAATAGGGCTATGTAGAGAGACCCTGCCTCAAAAAACTAAAAAGGAAGGCTAGCCATCGGGAACAAATGGATTTGGAAGTCGGAAGAAATGGCTTCAGCCTCGGTTCTATTACTTATTACTATCTTGACAACATGGAACCTGTTTTCTTGTATTTCAAAACAAAAGAGCAATGCTTTCATAGAACTGAGATTCTATGCAGTGTCTTTCCACCAGGGAATTGTGCATTAGGCAAGCGCTCTACCCCTGAGTGCATAAATGTGGCCTTTGATTCACTGGCTGCATTCACTCCCACTGTTTACTTTATCTTACCGTCAACCATTTCATTAGGTTATGGTGATATTTTATTTGTGCTGAAATGTGGTTTTATTTGTATATTAATAAATAAGTTGCCTGGGGGTCAGAGCTAATAGCAAGCCATTTAGCAGAAGTCTGGCAGTGGTAGCACACACCCTTAATCCTGATCACATGACAGGCAGAGTCTGTGTGTTCAAGGACACAGCCAGCATGGAGACACACGCCTTTAATCTCAATACTAACCATAGAAGACCTGGAGGTCTGTATAGACAGGCAGTGACGAGGAGGTCATGTGGCTGGGTTTACAACCAATGAGAAGGCAGAACAGAAAGTCAATAAAAAGACAGACCCACAGGAAGTAGGTCTCTTTCTGAGGGGAAGGACGACAGCAACAGCGAGGGGTAAGAAGGAGGTCTTGGTCTTAGCTCTTGGCTGCGGTTCGATCTCTGGGCTTTTAACTCTGCATTTGGCTCTGTTTCTTATTTAAGAAGATCGTTCAGAATTACATCTACATTGGGTAGTTAAATTGTTAAATATACGTGAACAGTTACCTTACGTCCATTCCCTGTTATAACTGAATGCGACAAACTGGGTCATTTTAAAAGGTTTCTTCAGCAGAACTTCTACAGCACAGCAGGCTCCATGGTTAAGGCCATTAACATCTTGTGTGAGAAGGGACCTGGTGATACCCAGACCAAGCCAGGGCAGTGTAGTGGTGGAGGTGTAGTAGAGAGGGATAGACAGGAACAAGGGAGTGGATGAGGGCGCAGGAGTGGGCGTGTGCACATGCATGGATGCAGGCTTTAAACCAACTTTTATAAGACTCACTTTAGGGATAACACCTTAATCCATGAACAGATGGGCTTGTCGATTACGCAGAGCCAGTCACCTGGAAAGACTCCATTGGGTCAGAGTCCTGAGCACTGGGATTACAGGCTTGGACCAACACGTGCAGCGTTGGTGCCACCTGTTGCTACTTCATGGGAGAACTGATTTCAACATCAAATTTGGTTGTGGACATTCAAACTGTAGCAATAATAAAGGACAGAGAAGAACAGCATCAGCCTTCAGCTTATCAACTTTTACTACCATACTGCTTTAGTCTTTGGTGTGTGTGTGCAGAGGGGCAGAAGCACCTGCTTCTCCGTGCCTTTCCTTCTGCTCCACGACCTTGAATTTGGTATTTGTTTTTTCCTCATGTATGTATATACACACACATGTGAGTATATATATTTATGTATATTATATAATTATATATAATGAAACAAAAAAACAAAAAAAACATACTTTCTCCAAATATAAATGTGTATAATGTGTATTATAATATATGCATACATGTTATAATGTACACACATAATATATATTATATATAACATATACATGTATATTATAATATATGCATATATATTATATTTGGAGACAAGTTTCACGTAGACCAGGCTGGCCTCAAACTATGTAGCAAAGGATGTCCTTGAGCTTCTGATCTTCCTGTCTACACCCAAGTGCAGGGATGACAGGCATATATCATGTGGTTAGTCTCCCACTCATGTTCTTATGATTATACACACAAAAATCGATGTAGTCTAAATATCCAAATCTTATAAAAATTGTGTATTTTAGATACAGTTTGAAAATTGCTTTTCCTGACTTGCTTGTGAGGTTTAAAACCCATATTGCCATATTAAGCTTGTTCACTTGTCTTAACTGTTCTGTAGTATTGCCTTGAACTAACATGCCACGTCTTATTTATCCACTCTCTTTACTCATGGGCATTTTTTTTTTAATGTTTTTCGAGACAGAGTTTCTCTGTGCAGCTTTGCGCCTTTCCTGGAACTCGCTCTGTAGACCAGGCTGGCCTCGAACTCACAGAGATCCGCCTGGCTCTGCCTCCCCAGTGCTGGGATTAAAGGCGTGCGCCACCAAGCCCGGCTTACTCATGGGCATTTGAGAGTCCCCTTGGGGACAGAGTTTAGCTTAGTGGCAGTGGGTATGTCCAGCATGCACAAGGCCCTCGGGTCCAGTTCCCAGCACTGACAATAAAGGCTTCCTTCCCATGAGTGCGAAACCATCAGGGTCTGCAAGTCTGTGAGCGCCGAGCACACGTCAGTTTTCCTCAGGATACATGGGATTTTCTTCTCTTTACTGCTTTCAAGGCAAACCGATGGGTAAATTTATACTTGCATTCGCAGTGTGAGAGTTTCCAACATGGGAAGGTGCTCGTCATGTTAGTGACATACGACATCACTGCATTAAGGAAGTACACACCAGAAGACAGCAAACCACCGCCATTAATGGCAAAACCACAACTACAATCCGAATATAACAATAACAAAACCCCCCAAATACTGCACTCTAACAATTCATAGTGCGAGGAGGGTGCCGTGTAACAGGAACCCCCTGTGTACTGGCTGGTGGGAATCCCAATTCTAGATATTCACCCCCAAAACTGAAAATGTGTCTACACAAAAAGATGTGTACATAATGACAGTGGCCTAATTCATTTACAAAGACTTGCCTTTGAAAAACATACGTTTTATTGCAGAGTAACTCTGGCAAGGGATGAAGGAGGACAACTGGGGAGGGCAGTTAACAGGTTAGTGAGAGGGTACCCCTCCACACAGCCAGAAGGACTGAGTACACACACAGCCACCTCTCGCAATGTAACAAGACAGGGCCCATTTGGGAATAGTGAACTTCTAAAAATCAGATGTGGCTTCCATACTGATTCATCCTTGGAAACCAAGAGAAACTTTAGTAATTTCCTTTTGTCCACGAGAGACCAAAAAGGGTCTCCTGGAGGACAGTGATGTAGAGAAGAGGAACAAGACAGTTCACAGGGCACCTAACTAACTTTGAGTTTCAATGAGTAGCATGTTTTTTACACGGGGTCTATTTACCTTACGTAATTATTTGTCTGAAATTCAAATTTAACAGAGCATCTCCTGTTTTTACATCTACTCTGGCAACTTAAAAAAATTAATTACATTTATCCATTTTCAATTTATTATGCATGGAGGTCAGAAGTCAGAGAGTAGGTACTCTCTTTCCACCACGTGGGCTCCAGGCACTGAACTCGGGTCATCAGAGTTGGTGGCAAGCACCCATACCTGCCGAGCCATCTCAGCAGCTCCTCCTCTGGCGACTCTTAGCAGACAGCACTCTGAACTCAGATTATCTTGTTGGATGTAATTTAAGAAGAAAGCCAATTACTTATATATACATTCATTTATTATATACATAAAGTTCCTTAAGCTTCACAACAGAGCTTTTCAAAATGAATTTTGCATGATACAGAGTACAAAATGAACATAGCTTCATAATTATGCTAACTACAAATATCAAAATTATACTGTCCTTAATTCTGTTTTAAAAGATGCATAACTGGTCTCTATGAATGAAGAGAATCTTGTGCTTGTCAACATGGAAAATACCATTAGAATTTGGTGGCGGAGGGGGCGGGGAGTAAGCTGAAGAACTGAGTAATAGAGTACATACCTGGAGTTCCCAAGTTCAGAGAATTATTTTGAATTCAAGGCCAGCCTGGAACTACCCATAAGGCGCAGTCTCAGGAGGAGTTAAGTACTAGAACAAACTGTACTGTGCTAAAGCACCAAACATTTATTTGTTGGAAATGTGTTATCAGCTCCAAACTCCATCCCGAGCTGTTCAACCCCATGACAAGTGCTGTT